TTTTGTCAAACATAACATCTGGAGGGACATGAAAGTCGAACACAAAATACTGGACAGAAAAAAAAGTTAGTGAAAATATTGTTAGTATCAACCCTGTTTTTGGATTCATAGTAAGCTCTTTTCGCCAAAACAGAAATGAATATATACAATAAGTTGTAATGATGGACTCACTTCATTGTAGTATGGGCAGTTGGTTGATTCCTTCATTGAAGTGTACTTTTTATCTTCTCCAATCTCAACACAGACCATTGGATCCATGTTCAGTCCCACCAGCTGCCTGGCTTCAATCACGGTCACACTGACCTGAAATTAAATGGTAATTGTAGACAATTGACAGAGTGACTGACTGATGTCTTAACTGACTGATTATGTACCAATAGTGTCAGACTAAAAATTAAGATTAACCATGTCTGTGCAAGTATAGTAATGTCATAAAAATATTCTACGACTGGTCAGTAATTCACCTTTCATTCATCAGCACACTAGAAAAATAAAATAACTGGGCCAATGAAATGATTATAATTTAAGATATCTCTTACTTGGTAATCTACTGGTCTTCCAGAACTGGGTTCCATCTTTATATCTGGCTTTGATCTGTAAGACAGATTCACATGATTAACAAGAGCAGTACAAATGTTTAAAAGGCAGTCATATGCACAACAGAACCATGCTTGCCTCTTATTTGATACATTGGTGGTGACAGCTGTGACTGAGGCCAGTGAGATGGTGTCGGGATCTGGGCCTCCTTCCATGAACATGCCCTGACGATCCAGGTTCTCTGTCTCCAGAATAGCTGGCTCATCTGGAGAGCAAGAAAGCATTGCATACAAAAATTTGTATGAAAAGTACTTAAAAATGGTGACAGTGAAAACTTTCTTGCACCATGGAATGCAAACATTGCTCAAACATTGTGTTATATTATGTGTTTGATTCATCCTGGGATCTTTTTATAAAAGTCAGTGAGCCAGGATTTCCTATCTTAATCCACCTAATCTGTCATCCATCTAAGCTACTGATACCTCCGTTTCTGTCCTCCTTGAGTCCACGGTGCTTACTGCGCTTCATGGTTCAAATCAATTCTTTGTGTGCTCTGTGAAAGAAATTATTAAGTTAAGTTATTTACTATTTCATTAAAGATAGGTTTGTATTTTGATTAAGACAACATTGGTATAGATGGAACTACTTTCAATGAATTAAAAACCAAAGAGGTTTTTATGCACATTAATCTTATTTTCTATGCATGTTGTACAGTCAAAACCCCACTTCTTCTGTCTGAACAGCCACAAAACCTCTTAAGTGTAAAGCCACAGCAGACTAAACCATGACACGTTACTCCAATGTCTTGGAGAAAGAAGGAGGCCACCGACTAATTTCAATCAAAAAAAAAAGTCCAAGAGCAACTAGCTCTTGCTTAAATTATTAAGAGCATTTAAAACATTGAATGTATATTTATTCAAAACCAAAACACACGACTTAAGAAACATATTTCAAAGTGCCATGACAGAATTAAAGTACAGTATCTTTGCTATCATTTTAAGAGGGGTGTCTGTGTTCTACCACACCCTGGTTTAGACTTCAAAAGGGGCTTTTAATTATTCAAATCAGCTGACCTTAATACATCAATTAAAGAGGATAGATTTCACATGCACTGTGAAAAATAATACACTTAAATTAATAATCTGCTATAATTAATCAGAAAAGTGCCCTTTTCACAGTGTACATTTTTAATCTTCAAAGTAAATTTTTTGATGTGATCAAGCATGCTAATTATTTCCAACATTGGCATTTTCAAAAGGTATACACAGATGACCTATGGGCTGACGCCTTTCTCCTAAATGTATTGTTTACTTTTTTGAATATCACTTTACATTTTCAGAGTTTTATGTAATAGCCAAAAACAGAAAACAAAGTGGAACACATCAAAACTACGTACTGTGTATTTGAAACGCGTCACAAAACTTTGTCAAAATCAAGAGTTCAGCAAAGTAATTAAACCCTTTTGAGCTGCATGTTGAAAAAAGTTTAGATTAACCACAAAGCACAAAGAGACTGAGAATGCAAAGTCTGAAATATTTCTGCGATATCCAAACGGAAAAAAAATCTTCTCAACAATTTGACAGATCAAATATTATTAGTAGTATATATTAGTCATCTTAAAGTCCCTCCTCAAAGAAAATATTGAGGCCTAAATGCCAAAGCTTTACTTGTTTCATCTGATCTTTTCTTAGCATGATGTTGCAGATGAAATAATGTGATGTCAATATACATACCATACAAGAAAGTAACGCTCTTGTCTCCCTCCCCTAAGTGGCTCCAAGAAATTTCCTGCAAGTAAAACAGCAACTTCTTGTTTTTCTCTGAGGTGGAAGCAACACTAACTAAAACATTTTAGACATTTCCACAGCAGTAAGAATGGGGCTACAAAGTAAAGTTGCACAGAAAAGAATTGAGTTTGTCTAAGTCTGAAGTTGGGCAGGAGTGATGTGATACACCACTGAATAGTGCATGAGTGTTGAACCCGAGACTGGTAACTATTACTAGGGACTGCTGAGAGACGTCACTGTGAGCAGAGCCTGCCAATCCACATAAGCTGTGCACAAAACAAAATGTATAAAACTATTTTTTTCTTGAATTCTAAATCATCCTTTCAATGGTCACTGTAAAGCCAACCAGCACCTTTAACATACAGACCCAGGGGTCATCAAATTAATCCAACTGATATGATAATGATGATAATGATTCTGCATAATACAGCTAAAAAATTAAACTCAAAAAGCCTAATCCTAACTAAGGTAATGGTGAGTAATAATGTCACAAAGTCCAAGATGTTGCCTTTTGTGCCTTTCAGAAAGATTAAAAAATATCTGTCATGTTACAAGGTGATGAGAAACACACAATTAAAAAGTTCTTGTTATATTCAAAAAGAGTTTGGCACTGTGCATCTATTTGTAAATCGAAATATCAAAACAGTACTTCACTGGAAAAGGTTCAAAATATGTGAGCATGAGGTAATCATTGTATTGTAGTGTCACTAGTGATAGAATTTCATGGAAGTAAAATGTCAGCCCAGCCTAGTTGGAATAACGCTCCCTTTTAATCTTTAATAGGGCGCTGCTTCAAATTGGTGCAGACACACTGTCTTCTGTCATGGACTCACCAAATAGTGTCAAGTCCTATTTGCAACACCTTGTATTTTAAATTCATTCAGGTTTAAGACTTAAGGTTTAAAAACTGACCTCAATTTCAAATCTTTTACACTGTTGATTCATTATTTGCACAAGTCTATTCACTTCAATGAATTGGGATCAAATAAGGAAAATGTGGTCTGATGTGTTTCCCCACAAACTGAAAATAAAGCACTGATAAAAGCACTGATTATGTTGCATTATTTTGCTGGGTTGAGGCATGCTTTAGCAATTTCTATTCAATGAAACCGTTATTGAATACTGAAGTAAAACTCATCATCTCATCAATTACACATCCAGCCAGTCTGTAAGCCATACGTCAAAGTCTAAAGTTTCTGGTATCCGATGAAACAAGGCTCTAAATTATTGAAGCGCTCCAGTCAGTGTTGCATGTGGCATCCTCATTATGTGGAGGTATCAATGTTCACAACAAAATAAATAGATTTTGCTTAGAGGGAATAATAAGAAAACATGTTATTATTATTATTATTAAATTGGGAAAACTTTTTTTTTACCCGCTTAAGGACATTTTAGCTTTCTATATTAAATGATACATATATAAACCAATATTTAGAAGATGTGTATCAAAAAAAACCCAACATGCTTAACTTTATGCTATAACTACTTTCCTTGTCTTTACCTAGAAATGTAACAAATACATCCTTTTCCTGCCTGCTCAGCTGGAAGTCTATGATACTCTTAGTAACACCAACCTGACCACTCTGTTGAGGGACTCTGCTCTTAATTACATGATTCAATACCGGCAACTATGGGTTAGAGCACCTAGTTCCTCCAGGATGGGTGGTAACCATGTCATCAATCGTGCAAAGTTACAGGTTGCCCCTTTAGTCTAATATACTAACCTGATTCTCTGATGGGTGTTGACAACTTTAAACACTTTGAAGTTGATGTCAGACACCAAACCAATGTGCCATGGTTGACTTAAGCGGTCTGATAAAGAACAAAAGGATAGTAGTAGTAACTTGATTAAAAACAGCCTCACTTGAAAAAAGAGAATCTCTCAATAGGGATGCAAGGTCAGTTTATAAACACAAACATCAAATACTAATGCAATACCAAAAGAGTTATTATTTGTATTTTGGATTAATATTTAGGTAACATTAATGAATATGCATGAGCAAACCCTTAAATTGACACCTTTGACAATGTCGTCTAAGGTGAACCGCAGAATGACTTGATACCAATCATGCAATCTTATCCCATGTAGGTCCAGTGTCCAAAAGCCCTTTTTTGCTGTTGGTTGTAGGTGGGTTATCACCATCTTGTTTGTGCTCCAGTGACTATGTGGGGACACCACCTGACCCTGGTGTAGTGTATCCTTATGCCACTTTTCAGACTCTTGGATGGGGGAGCTTGGCAAGCTTCATCAGTGAAACACAGCCAGAGGGCATTGTTATTGTTTGGTGTCAAGGTAGGGCATTGTACTAGGCAGCAAGCTCGTAGGGCCAAGGTGGATCTGACCTCAAGTGACCCTATAGGAACATACTTAAAGTTAATTACTCCAAATCTGAATGATTGGTTTGTTTATCCTATGGTTTCAAATGTCTTTTATATCAACCATTGCATTGTGTTACTTAAATGGACAAGAAGCTTCAGCCTATTTGTGTAATAAAATTTTGCCCAAACATACCTACATACCTGTCTTCTCCTTCAGTTTAGGCCTCCACCAAGGCTATTAATGCCAGCCCATTGTCCCTCTCTCTCGCTCTCTTTTGGTTTGGTGTGGTTTGACATTTTGTGGCTTCAACACTAACATTCCTCACTCATATAACATTACATTCCACCATCCACTACTAATGCAAATACGCCACACCTCATGTTCATTTTTTGTAAACAGTAATGTTTGTTTAAATTCTGATAAACTTAATTGGCATTTAACTTCTCTTATCTCCCCTCCTTGTCACAAGTAATGAGCATGATTTGTGACGCCTTAGGTTGATGTACCTTTTAATTGTAGCTGGAAAGCAATTTGAAATTAAAAAGTGAAATAAGTTTATTTAAGGTGGACTTTGCACAGTAAGGTACATCCCGAAAGCTAAGCTTGCGCTAATGTTACAGCATGCTAAAATGCTAGCTATAACTATGCTAAGAAGTAACACTATAAGTATTACTACTTTATGTCATACTTTGGCCTCAAACTTGTACAGAAGCTGCTTAAACGTTTGCCGAAAGTCTTTGGGGCCAATGTTCCGTTAATGTTTACCAAGATAAACCTTAGTTTATGTAACGTAGGTTAGCTTGATTAGCTAATGTTAACATAGCATCACGGAAAAACAAATTTCCGTTAAAGCTACGTACTGCGGTGGTTTTGTGGCTAAAGGTAACAAACTGATTTATCTCGCTGGGAGAAAGGTTAAAGGTTAAGGATTCTTCTCTTTTTTAATTAATAGCATTTTATTTTACAGGCAGCAGCACCACAGACAGGATGACGGACGATGAACCTTTGCCTGAAAAAGTCAGAGGTCAAGAGTTATCTTCACCTTACAGTAAGTGATGATTAGTGGTTTATCAATAACAGCAAACCAACTTATTCAATCAGTTATATTATGTACCTATATTTGCAGTACCTAATTACATCTTTGTTGATTCTTTTAAAATAATAAAACATGAAAAGTCATTTCTTTTCAATGGCAATGAATGTCACAAATAAAATAATGCTACCAAAGAACGTTTTACACAGAGTTATTGAGATTTATTGTTTGTCTACCAATTATCTTTTCCAATTAGATGGTGAGATATTTGACTGGATAAGTAGAAACTCTGGCCTGCTGGTGGTCTAATAATTATAGTATAGTTAATAATAGTATGTTAATGACTGAAGCTTTTGATTTTATAATGTTACGTGTACCATATAGACTGTTGGCTGGCTAGTATGTTCAAAATAGTCTACATCGTAATGTGGCTAAATGGTTGACATTAGATAAGAACAAACAAAAAAACCTACATGTAGAAACAAAAAGAGTATTTAATTTTTTAAATAAAATTTGCTTATTTGGTCCGGAATAAAACCACCAAATATGGCTCAAAAAGTCAGCCATTTGAAGTCAAGGCTGAGTTCAGCTTGTTCTCTACAAAGAAAGACCTCCATCTAGTGGTCATACCATTTCATTCATCATGGAGTAATCGTGGTTAAAAAAACCTAAATTTTATGTCTTATCTATTGAGGACACTGACTCCATCAGAGAGGGTTAATGTCCAAGTAATGCATGTCACTGAATATTATACCACCATTGTCGTGGTAATTATTAATGAGGACAGGCGCTCAGCTTTGCTTCCAGTCTTTTCTGTCTCCAAGAAACGCTGCATCCCTTTGGCCACGTCCATCTAGAACGCTGGCAGTGTGGTGGTGGAATTAAAGTGACACAGCTATATTATACGAAAGTAAAGCAGAGCAGCTCACAAGGGTGAGATCTTTAAAGGGGGAGTAGCCTTTTTATAGACGAGGCTCATTGAGGATCAGAATCTCCCCGACCTTAAAGGAGACAGGAGTACATTTCTCATGTAGATAACCGTATTCATCTCTAATCCACTTGACAGGGGTATAACTGGATGCTTTGTATTTATGCTTTTCTCTATTGGTTTGTAAAGCACAGATGGACGAGCAGCTGATGCAGAGGGCAGTTACTCACACAGCACACTTGGAAAGCGAGGACCCGAAGGCATCTTGAAATAGAAAGTCAAAAGAGGAGGAGGAGGAGGAGAAGGAGAGAAAGGAGGGGGGTTTTAAGTGAGAGCATTGGTATGCCAGGCTCAAAACCTAGCATGGCTGTGCAGAAGAAACAGAGTCTCATCCCTTCATCGCAGGGACCACTGTCTACACGTACCATTGAGGCGCAGAGAAAGAGGAATGGAAATGAAAGAACAAGAGGTTAGTAGCTTTTATCTATGGTCTTGTTTAAGAAGGATTTGTATGGTATCTGATGCCTTTTCTTGAAGCAAAGGCAGAATGACTGTAGATCACAAATACAGGATCATCTGATCATTTTGATGACGCATGAATAGAATATATAGATTACACATTCCCTTTGAGAAAACATTTATCATTTTGTAATTGTGCATGGCTACCATAAACAGGGGGAAATTATATATGGGGGCATCTGTGGACACAGATCCCATAATACACATAGAATAATTAGCATCCTGATATTGCTCAATCCCAAAGGAATACTTTAGATCCATGTGTTTGCTTCCCCCTTGCATTTATGCCAGTTACTCATTAATTTTGTGTGGTGCCTCTGTATCTTGACCTTTTTCTTTGCCTATTTCAGTAATCTTCATGAGGACTGGTCAGGTGCTAGCATGTTCTCTTCGCCTTTTATACGCAGGCAGTTTATAATGGCTCTTTCATTTGCAGCCGACCCTAAGGCCATCCCAGTTCATAATAGCCACTATTTGGGACAGATTTTTCAAGCTGATTGAATGTTTTTGGTTAATATGTACCAGCTCCTTCACATCATTTGCTGCTGTACTGAAATATGCATTCAGGGGTAGAATCCTTTGCATGTTTACAGAGAGTAAAAAAGCTAAATATCAAGGGAATGTTGAGCGTCAGATTATGAAAAATAAAACCTAATGCAGTTTTCCCCCTCACTTTTAGACAATATCAAACCAAAATTACAGGGAAAGAAAACACCCGGTTCTGTCAACAAATCTGCCCAAATCTGCAACACAGCCACTCCAACACGGCCCGCTGCAGGTTTGATACAGCTCTCACATTCACTTTTCTATCATATTATTGATAGTGGGCTTTCAGCATGACTTCTTCTTTCTAACTGTTTTGATTTTGGTTTTAATTTTGAATATAACTAACAGTATTACATTAAATGATTTATGGCAATAATCCAGTGACTACAAAGTATTATTTCTAGTTGCTAATGGACTAAATGTTGATGAGAGGCTGAAAGCTGCACGGGAACGAAGAGAAGAGCACCAGAAGTTAATTGGTATGTGAGCTCTTGAGGTGGTCACACAATACTGTTTAGAAATTAAGATTAACATACATAACTGGTTAATCTATTTTTACCGGTTCACTTTTTTCCCCCAGCCTCTCGGGAATTGAGCAGGTTAGAGCGGGAGCAGCGGGCCAGGCGATACTATGAACAACAACTGCAGCAGCGCAAGAAGAAGCTCCTGGAGCAGAGGCTCAAAGAGGAGAGGAGGCGTGTTGCTGTGGAAGAGAAGCGCAAGCAGAGACTGAAGGAGGAAAAAGTGAGTTTTGATGGTGGAAAACAAAAAAGTTTTATATTTAGTCCGGCCGATGCTTTCACAGCTCTGGATTGAGTAATATCAACACTGAAGCTTGTTTTCCTGAATTAAAGGAGCGATATGAATCAGCAGTGCGAAGGACAATGGAGAAGAGCCAGAGGGCCCAACAGAACCTCAGTCAAAACTCAAGAGGAAGGAAGCTCACCAAGTATGGTAAGTTTAGATGAATGTGCTTTCTTTTTCCACTCTCTTTTAACATGAGCTTTCTAAACTCACAACGCCGTACTTAACAGTATGTGTTCTCTGTGTAACATATCTTAAAACAAGTGCCTTATCTTTTGTTTTTGCTACACTTCACTTAACTTTATACTGATCAATATGCTAGCTCCTCGTCGCTTACCACTGACAACATGGGAGAAAAACTTGGTCAGTCGCCTCCTTACCCCCACATGCTCTTATCTGGCCAGGAGCAAGAGTGCTGGTTATCAGTCAGGAGAAGAAGGTACTCACCCCCATGATAACAGAATGGCAATGCAATGCTAATGGTTTCTAGATGCTACTACAAATAATTTCTCCAGGCTTTTTTATTACTAACGCTGCTTATTTTCCTCTCCGTTTTTGCACTGCTTCACATTTCCATCACTGTTTGTACCATTTGTCCATATTTCTTTCCAATAATTATGGCACAAATCAATGGCTCAGTTGTCCATGTTTGTCGCCGTGCAGTTTCATTCCACTCCATAAATAGCACCACCAACACCGCCACCCCTCACAAAACCCAGCAGCACTCTGGTTCAGTCCACCACAGGCCATCTGCCTCCCCAAGTCCCAGCAACAACCAGCACAAAAGCATCAATCTGACGCAGGTAATTCTAGCTGTTCCTTTGGTCTTATATACATTCTGTGTTGCTAAATAATAGTGTTTAGATCAGTCATTATTTTTAGGATCAGCCAGCTGTCTCTTTATTCAGTCAGATTTTTCATCAGTTGTTTTCATCGAAAATATGATGTAAACAAAATAATTCTGTTTGTTTTTCTTCTTTTTGTTTTAGAATAAAGCAACAAGACAGCAAAACGCTAATAAGAACTTAAACAAGGGCTCAAATACTAGATCACCTGCCGTCAACACCAGTGAGAAGCAAGCCGCAGTTACACAAAGCAGAACAGCCTCCCCCTCACCTGAACGGTAGGTGAAAGACCGAAAACATCCACTGTACATTCATGACATAGTAACAGTAATCTGAACAAAGTGGGACATCTGCTCTCTTCTGCTGGATCTTAAAGGACCCCCAGGAGATCAATCAGCAGACATTCAACCCCGTTGCAGGTCGAGCTGCCATCGGTCCCAGAGGAAGATGTTGCAGTTTGTAGTTCTGCCCTCTCTCCTGGTAACTCGAGGCCTGTCAGGACATCACGTGAAGGTCAGCAAAAGAAAATCAGGGATGAAAAGCCACCGGAGACTCCATGTTCGAACCTGCCTGAGAAAAAGACAGAAGCTATAACCAGAACAGCAGGAGACAGAAGTAAGCGGTGCAGTATTTAAAGGGACATTTAATGTATCCCCGCCAGCGCTCCCTTCGCTGTCTCACACTGAATATCGGCTATTTACTTCCGCATAGTGGACCACTGGGCTGTTCCTTTGCCTCATAATGGGTTTCAGAGATATATTAAAGTTGATATTATTTCTCTTCAGGTCCTCCCCAAACGCCTCCTCATCCAGCTTCACAGCCTCCTGAAATCATGTGCAGGGCTTCAGCTGGGACTACAGACCCAGAGGAGGCCTCACGTCTCCTGGCTGAAAAGAGAAGAGAGGCCCGACTACAACGGGAGAAAGAGGAGCAGGAGCGCCTGCAAAGAGAGGAGGCTGAAAGGTAAAAAGAAAAACATGTCCACCTACAAAACAAAAACACTACAGTAGCAGACAATAAAGACTGTCAATTTGTGACACGTCCAGGCGGAGTCGTGAAGAACTGGAGCGCAGGAGGGCAGAGGAACGAGCACGACAGCAGGCCGAGGCTCAACGTCTCATAGAGGAGAAGAGGAGGAGGGAGGAAGAGGAGCAGCGGCGAGCTGAGGAAGAAAGATCTCAGGCTATGAAGGAAGCCGCCCTTCTGCAGAAACAGGTGGGAAATGCAAACACTCCTCAGTGCATGAGTGAAATTGCAGAAGGAACCACAAGCACCTACAGGGTGCTTTTATTATGGGTGCTTTTTGTTTTTCTGCTCATTTATTTTTCATGGACACTTTTTTCATTGCACTGCTTTGCCTGTTTTTGTCTAATATAGAGAGAGGAGGAACAAGCCAAAGAGAGGGCAAAAGCAGAGCAGATGAAACAAGAGCGAGAAATACTCGCACAGAAAGAGGAGGCAGCGCGCCAAGAACGAAAAAAAGTGACACTTTTGAAAATGTTTGATAAAATATGGTGTACTATGAAGTACTCTCTATACACAACAATGCATTATCTGTGTTCATCAAAAGATCAAATCAAACGTTCTTTCTTATTTATAAGACTGAATGTTTTCCCAAAGCCTACTATGACAGCACTTTAATGAAAGCCGTTTTCTTTTCCAGAGACTTGAGGAGATCATGCGGAGAACCAGAAGGACAGATTCTCCAGATACGGTGAGACTTTACTGTTCAGTTTTAAAAAAGTATACCGCCCCTGGACTCTTGTGATGCACATCCAGTATCCAGTAATATCCACCCAGCTCCACCTTTAAAAGCCAAACAGAGTGTCCTTCTCTAAATTGGTAAATATTTTTTAACACAGAAACCTGCACCATTGAAGAACTTGCCAAATGAAGCCAAACCAAAGGAAAACACAGAGCCTCTGCACAATGGCACTATAGAAGATGCAGTTAAACAGCCAGTGGCGACTAAGACCTCACAGCTGAACAATGAGGAGGACATGGTACCTGTTGTGGCCTTCAAAGAACGCAGGTCTCTCAGGACTCTCACAGGCCTGGAGGAAATCCAGACCCATCAACGGGCAGGTGAGACATGACCAACAGATCATATGAGAAAACTTGTTCTCAGGGTGAGAAGGTTAACACCAACCAGGACTTCACCAGCTTTGAATACTGTCAGGTTTTGCCTGATAAAGAACTTGCCAGTCAAAAAGCTACATTACCAGTAACTTAGGAGCTTGCAAATTTCAGCGTGCGGACAGTCTCAGTATCACTGAATAAAATTTTTAGAAATGCATCACAAATGTTCTACTTGTCTCTTAGGCTGCACTGAAACATTTTATTTGATATGTGTTTCTTTTCTCCCCATTGTGGATTCTTCAGAGGTCATCTGAGCAGCTGCAAAGTGGGCAAAGCCTTTGCTGGAGAGCTGTGATTTCTCTGTGAAACACAGGAATTACTGCAGTACAGCCATTTTGATGTCCTTCGGCACCTTGAAAGAGCATGTAAAATTACAGCCTTGCCTCTCACTGACGACGTCAGCATTTGGTCCCTTTTCTGTGTGTAACTAGTGGCACAAGTTGTGGGAAAGTTATTTATTAATTTCTTCAGTACAGCGGGTTTCTGAACTAATAATGGCTATCCAAAAAACAGTAGATGTAGACAGTGGTAATAATAGTTTGCTGGCAATTACGGAGAGTGTCCTCTGTGAAATACTAGGAATAGACATTCTAACAATTGCAACATATGTTAGCCATATTCTTTTTGCTTATTGCTGATATTTCTTGCTATGTAAGCACTTTTCCCTTCCTCAGTTTTGTCACTGTGGAATTAGAATAGCTCAAGTGGCTGTGCTAAGAACAAGAGTCGTTTAGGTCGTTGCTGATGAAAAGTTTACTTCCTACATAAATTCCTACCCTTTGAGTTTGTGAAGTATAGCAATCACATATTTCAAAGCTGCTAAGGAACTTAGTTTCCAAAGACTTTGCTTCAGTTTTGTGAGTGTTGTTTTAGAAAATACAATGCACAAAGCCATTATTGCACTTGACAGCTGCTTTGTTTGATATTGCGCAATCACTTTACAAAGCAAAGTTTGAGGTGTAGAGGTTAAGTGAGTTTATTATAATAAAAGCATATAAAAACAAATGTATCAGATGATCAATAGTATTGCGTATAACTATCACTTGTTAACCTGTTAAAAAGAAACATATGCCATATTTAATTAAAGTTGATGCTATGCCGCATCTCTGCCTTGTTTTTTACTTAATTTGTTGACTGTAAACATAAAAAACCTAAAATAAACACATAAAAAAACCTAAAACTAATAAAACGCTGCTTGTCCAAACAGTGCATTAATGTAAACACCACATCTCTCAGTATTTGCACTGACTACGTCAAAGGTTGACAGAAGATGGAGAAAGCGGCTCAATCTTTTGCAACAGCCGTCTAGTTTCCTCCGTCTGCACATGCACCATCCAGAGCTGAAGCTCCAACTTACTGTTAGCCAACAGAGATGAAAAGTCTTCATCTGCAGAGGAAGACAGCACAATTACATTTGTTGAAGGACATCTACTATGATAAGATAATTTAAATGGCTGCAGTACAGTAAATAAGTATTTGTACAACAAATACAAACCTTTCTTAAGGTTTAATATTGTAACTATGCCAAGTTGCTGGAAGTTAACATCTTTACTTTTGAGAAATACCAACAGGTACTCCAACATGGTAATGTAGTGCGGTCTCAGCAGCTGGGCCATCTTCCCTAGGAGAATAGTTTGCAAAGATACAGAATGACAATATTTAATATAGATAATATAAAACCAACCGAGTATTTGATGGGGTTTTTTAATCAGTAATTTTTATCAGTACTTGCACATAACATTACCAGTCATTTCGAGTTTGCTGATGATTGCAGCACTGTTGTATGACAACTGAGGATATTCTGTTTGTCCTAACAACTTCACTAGTCTTGAAACTTGATCTGATGTTATCGTCACCGACAAGGTAGACTTAAGTGGATCTGAAATAGTGACAAATTGTAAAGGATTTTGAAATTTATTCAAATAAAGAAGGATGTTATTATGTAATGGTCAACAGTGAGCAGTAGATAGGAGTTATATTTCACAGCAAAGAAAAATTCAAAACCAAACAGACAAATACTAATACATGTCCAGGTCGCTCACCCCAGGTCATCAGGTGATGTAAGTGTGTTGTCACGTGCAGCAACGTCTCATCTGACAGGGTGGAAGACTGAAGGGCGGAGAGGAGTCCTGATAAACACAGACTTTCCATCACAGCCTAAATAGCCATGATGGGATTCAGTGTGACTTTATTAAGAGTTTATCATTCTCTGGCACCATGCACAAACAAATCATGTATTTACTAAAGACGTGACATGAATTATAGCCATGGCGTACCTGCTGACCTTCGCAGGAGCTACACAGGTCAGTGATTATCTTGCCGCTGTGTGTGATTATAACAGAGCTGCACCTGTGATGATGAAGCAGCTGACCAATTTCATCCAAAAGTCCTTCACTAACCAGGATGTCCTGAAATTAAATCACGGATATATGATCAATATTGGATTTAAACATTTACTAGTTGCCTTATATCTGAAGTTTTGTGTTGTTTTTACATCCAGTGATTACTAGTTCAAGGAAAAGAAAAAGAATGTCCCCATAGATTAACACATCATTTTCAACCAGTTCATAGTAGTAACACACCACAGATAGTTAGTAGGAAATCGTACATTGTTTGGGGGGCGTGCAGACAGTGCAGACAGTAGTGTTATGGCTGACTCTGGAGAGGAGGTTTTCAGCAACGCCTTCAAAGGCAACACACAGTCAAGATCCATCAGCTGCTCCTGGATCAGAACTACACACAAAAAAGACATACAACATCTACTTTGGGTATGGTGTCAATTGTTAGTCAAATGTTTATAATTACCATTCTTTGATAAAGTTTCTAGGCATCTGCACGCTTGGTTTGAATTCTGTAAAAGAATAAGATATTAATTGAACACTGTTACTGATTTACCTTCAAATTCATCATTTGGCCACTAAAGTTCACAATTACCTTTTGCACAGGGGAAGACATGAGAGTCAAAAGAGACTTTAACAAAAAATGACCCCCAATGCTGAGCAACTTTGGGTGGTGCTCCTGAACAGCAGCGATGTTGCAGAGAGCGGTACAGCTGTAAAACTGAACCTCTGAATCTGAGGACTGCAGCAGCAGTACCAGGACAGGAATGGCTCCTGCTTGACATAAGATCCTTATTGACGATTCTGGAAAAGGAAGAAACAATTTTCTCATGGATCATGTTTCCAAGCAAAGAAGGAACATAGCCCAGCAGCTTCTAGTCCTATGAAAAATATGTTTAACATTGAGATTTAAAAGGAAATGATCCCACCTGACTGTGTGAGATGGAGGAGAGCCCATGTTGCGCTCTGTTGCACCTGTGGGTCGTAGGATTTTGCTAAAGCCAACAGAGGTATGATTCCATCCGTAGTGATAGCTTCCCTGTTTGATTCTGTATGAAAAGAAAGAAAAACCATCACACATGCTCAGCTGATTAAGATAGAACATTTCAGGCAAGTCAATGTGGCCAGTAACTGGCCACAATTACTAATGCATAAATAAAATGATTGCTATTTTTTCTATATATTATTTATTTTTCTGTCATTAAAAGAGTTCCACCAAATGCAAATGATTTCCTCCCTTTCTGTACAAACCTGAGGAGGCCAGCATGGTGACACAGGCACATGAGTGACACTGACCGGTGGCATCACCAGACTGGAACAGCTCCAGTATAGGCACCAGCATGCCCATTTCAATCACTAACTCTTTGCACACTGAAATCAGATTTTATGGACAGTAATTATGACCATCTAACACACACCGACGAGAGGTTAAAGACAAAACTTTAAATAGCTTGTGATTCTTAGAACTTACCATTATTCTTTACGAGCAGATTGACCAAGGAGAGAGAGATAGTCTTTTGCACATTGAGGTCAGTTGATAAAAGTAAAGCCATGACTGGCTCCATGAAGGCATCTGGTAAGGGAGATTTCACTGTAATTACCAAGAGCAAAAAATAATGAAAATAAAGAAAACATTGTGGTTAAATAAGCAAAATTGGACGATTCAGTTACATTTCTTGACAGCCAAAGTATTTTTAGAGTAACCAAGAATGATCTACATGTAAATGGAAAAAGGAAATATGTGACTGGTAGTTGGTTTTAAACTCAAGTCCTTAAAGAGATATCCCACCTTTGTTCTACCAACCTCAACGAAGTAAACACAACTGAATCTGTCAACTGCCACATGTATGCAAAAAAACAATATCTGGTCACACATTTTCATAATACTGGACATAACCTGTACTTAGCTTATCAATACCATGATCTGATCAAAGAGAAAACTGAACTAAAAGTAATACAGTCACTTAACATGAGGTAGCGGTATATCATAATAAAGGATTCATGCTGTGAGATTTCACAATAAAATCTCATAAAAGCTGGGAATTATTTGCCAACCCTGGGAAAAATACAGTTGAAAATTTGCATGATACTGGTCATACCCGTTGGGGAGCTTATCTCCACAATGAGTGATATGAGAAAGCTCAAGTGCAAACAGTGGTCTCATTTTGTGTGGCACTGATCTTTTCTATCATGAAGCTTGCCAGAAGCAACATTAAAACATCTGCTGTTTCTTTACTCACAATGATGACTGAGATGTAAATAATACATGGCTGCAGTCATTTGTAGATCAGTGTTTTCTGAGGATGCAAGGCTGTTCAGTCCTCGTAGACTTTCCTGATCAAGTAGTTGAGTTTCATCCTCTAAGAAAGGAAACATATTAACAATGATGAATATTCCCAGTTGATCAATCTAACTACACACTGTTTGCTTTATTCTGATTTTTGTACATATGCTTTGTGCTAATGCCAAGCACAGGTGTTTTTATCAACTAGTAGCCTACTTGTATGAAATAATATAACAGAATTAGTTGTCTTCAGTTACAAAGACAATGTTCACGTAAAACTGTCTGATTTTCCAAATTGAAATGACACATATCAACTGGGATAACTTCGGCTGACAAATAAAAATAAGACAGTTTAAGACTGTAGTTGTGTTTCCCTTCGTCCACAACAATGCTGTCTACAACAATGAAAAAGAACAGCTAAAATGTACCTACCATACAGAAGGTGTAAAGAGGGAAACTCTTGAGTCATCCTCCTCAGGAAAATTCTCTCAGGTGTTGTTCTAAAGCAGGTGCACTGAGAAAGTTCTCTGAAAACTTCCCTTATTTGTTGCTCAATCTCTCTGTAAACATTTCTGAAATGAGCAGTAAATTCTTTGAGCAGTCGGGAGCAATTTCCACAAAAGCCAGTAGCCATGACTGCATTTTCAGCAGAGCGAAACGTAGTAGCACCTGTCAGTTCACAACCTGGACATAGACACGCCCACTGGCACACCACGTGACTGCAGTTCGTCGTTACAGAACACACGTTTTCAGATCCTTTAAACAGCTCTTATGTAAAAGGAAAAGTTCTAATTCAATTACATGTAATAGTATTGTGGTTTATTAGCAGCGATATATATATATATATATATATGTTGCCTGTTTATGTGGTATTTCTTTGTTGGCACGGGTTACAGCCTCCTCCTCCCCTGTCATTATTGTCTCATTTTAAGTTTCTTGTGGTGGACTTGTTAAAAAAAATCAATAAAATAGTGTTCAAAAATATTTTATCTGCAGTTGCCTCACGTAATCGAGGACAGCACATAAACTGGAAAACACACACTCCAGTTACTTTCTTACTTCTTTAATTTAATTAAATTCAAATTCAAATTCAAAAATCAGCTTTATTGGCATGAATGTAGGCCTACAACAATACTTCTTTATATGACAGTGTTATTTTCATGTTTCCTCCAATTTCTTTATTGGACAGAGATATTTAGCCAAAACAAAAGTACATACAATAACAGATTAACTGAACAGGACATAACTATAAATAAAAAACAAAGGTGTACTATGCAACAAACAACAAAGGAATAAAATAATTTCTATCTTGAAATGATTGTGGTTGTTATTTTCATGGTTACGCTTTAGAGCTACGTAGATAGTTACGTAATTTTGATTGTTCTGTCCTCAAATTTCATTGGTGGGTTTGGTTGTTTTTATCTGTACGTCACGAACATGGTCGCCACGCTCCTCCCCCACGTTCATCCTTGATGTGGTTGACTTGGAAACCGTCGCAGCGTTGTTGGTGAAGTTGGAGGACAAAACAATCACAGCTGGGTAGATATACGCAGTTACCCGTAGCTAACTCCTGTGCACGCATTTAAAATACGTTCTTTTATGTGGGATTTTATTTATTTTAAGGATCAGACTGTCTGTTGAATAAAATAAATCTCGCTGTACCCCGTAGTAAGTTAACGATGTCACTTCGGTTAGCTAACGTTAGCATTTAGCAGGAAATCTAACGTAGCTAACGTTAGCTTCTAACAAAGGTTGCTTTTCCTAAGATTGATGTAGCCTCTGCTATCAGATATCACATAAAACACGATGCGGGTTTGTTCCTGTGTTTTCATTTACATTGCAACTTGTATGAAACACCAAGCTAAACCCAGCAGAGATTTGGTTTAGCAACGTTAAAGTTATCCTTGTTTTGTATTTTTAGAATGAAAGCCTTCCTCCATGGATTACTTTCCTTTTGCACTCAGAATGAGAGATATTGCGGTGCCTGAGAATGCCAGCAGGTGAGTTTCCTGCTGTACAAACTCAACACAAACACACCAGGTAGAAGAAATACTTGGATCCTTTATGAGTTAAAGTAGTAATACCACAGTGTAAAATACAGTATATAGTACAAAAAATAAAGACCCCTTTAAAAGTATTAAAGTATTATCAACAAAATGAGGCTATGAGACTCCTTAATTCATCTTCAGCACTCCACCATGTAAAATAGTTAGATTTCTATGCATAATTTTAATGTTGTAGCTGATCATGGTGGTGCTAATTTAAACTATTTCATACACTGTTGGGTTGTTTATTCTTTAAAAATACATCATCTCCTATTTGTTGATTGATTGCATATTACATTTACATTTTACATTTAATTATTTTTTGCTGACACTTTTATCCAAACCAACTTACAATTGCTATTTATTTCAGAGGTTGTACATCTCTGGGGCAACTAAGGGTTAAGTGTCTTGCTCAGGGACACATTGGTGGACATGTCACAGTGGGGAGTTGAACTATTCAACTTCTAGTTGAATTATTAACTGACATCAGTGTAGCCAGCCTACATCAGCTTTGCCTATTATTGATAGTGGAACCTTTTTTACAGGTCAGAGTGAAGACCGGGCAAAGACCCGGGAAAGATTTAATGAAGTGTTCAAGAGATACACTGAATCAGAGAAGAAAAAGGTGAAGAAGAAAAACACTGAAACACAGGAGACTATTGTGGTATGTGTTCTAATATGTGTAATTCTGCATTAATTGGTGGAGAACATCACATCAAACTTTAAGATCTGATAGTGTACTGTTGAAATATTTATCATAAATATTTGCTGTCCCTTCTCCCTGTTTCTATTAGCTTCAGAACCTAAAAAAGAATCTCAACCTTGAGAAGGATACAGAAGAAGATGAGACCATCCTTCAGAACACATATCACCCCGAACAGGGCAGCCCTCGCTACACCAAGAATAAACGAAGAGAGAGGGAAACAGCTGAAAAGGTTAATATCAACAACAGTAGAAACCAAGAGGAGATTCAAGCCTCAAAAGACAAGAGGAAAAGTAAGAGGGAGCTTCCCTCCCTCCCTGCACCTGAAGACACCACAAGTTACATCCAGAAGGATGAGGATGCTTCCAGGTCTGAAATCACGTTGGAGCCAGATGATGTAGGCGATGGAAAGGAACCAAAGCGAAAAAGTAAGAAGGTGAAAAGCAAAGGAGCTGCAGAGGCCAAGGCAGAGAGTCAGGTGGAAGATGCAGAAGACAAGCTGCTGCATGACTACCAGCAGCAGATTGCTCAGGAAGAGGAGAGGACTTTAAAAAAGACCCACATCAAGACTGAGGAAGAGAGTGTTGTCTCCCAAAATGTTTCGCAAAATAATGATGTTGGAAAGAAGAAAAAGAAAAAGCTGAAATCTGTAATCACACAGTTGGATGTAGGGTGTGTATAACTACTTATATGTATTTTTTTTTTTTAATTAATAATAATACAGGCTACAGTTTTTAGAAGCACATTTAAGTGAGAATTAATACTTTCTGATCCTCTAGGCATCAAGATGAAGATGCTGACCAGGATGCTGATGGTGAAAATGAAACAGAATCCAAGGGAAAGAAGAAGAAAAAGAAGAAAAAACATGGTAAGTGGTTAATTGTCAGGAAACCATTTATAAAAATTCCATTAATAATTCAGTACAATGCATGATGTTGCTTAATTTTATGTTTATATTTTTTTTATTTTCCATTTTTCAGTTGTCAAAGAAGAGAGTGAAACTGAGGCAGAAGTACCGCAGCAACCAACATTTGATGACAGCCTTGTGCTCGGAGTGTACGTCCACAGAACAGATCGCCTCAAGACCGACCTACTGATCTCACACCCCATGGTGAAGATCCATGTTGTAGATGACGTCACTGGACAGTACGTGAAGAAAGAACACAGGTGAGATTGGACATATCTCAGACACCTACACCACTGCAGTTTAATTCAGTGCTAAATTGTGTTTTCACATTGGTATTGATCTGGTAACAATTGTGTTTCTATTGCCTGGTACGTTCTTTCTTTGGATACTTAATTGTAACTTGTAACATTTAGACCATAGTTATTTGTGTTTTAGTTGAATTCTAAGCATGCTCTACAGTTATTTTAACGTCTGATTTTAAGGGAGTAGATGGTGGTAAAACCTTTGATTGAACACAGTATACTACAAACCACCTAACTGTATGGCTTCAGTTTCAGTATTTTTATGTATTTGCCTGATAATTAAATGTTTTTCTCTTGTTTTTCAAAGCCATCGGCCAGTCTCCTCATTTTATGAGCAAGATAACGTTGACCACATTCTCCCAATCATGACTCAACCTTTTGACTTCAAGAAGAAGAAATCAGTCATCCCTGAGTGGCAGGAGCAGATCATCTTCAATGAACGCTTTGGTTACTTTGTTCAACAAAACGATGAAAGCCCCAGAGTCATACTCTTCTTTGAAGTAAGAGACTTCATATAGACATATTTGGCCAATTCGATGCAGCTGCCTATAATTGTTATTATTTAAATGTTTTGTAAAGATCCTGGACTTCATCACCATGGAAGAAGCAAGAGCCAACGTTGATGTTAACAAGCATGAGCGAGGATTCAGAAAGATTGCATGGGCGTTCCTCAAGGTACTATATTTAACCTGTTCATTTAGAAAGAAAAACCAGTCCGAATGTGTTTTTAATACCCATTTTCCCTGTATCCTTTAGCTTGTTGGCACAAACGGTGTGCTGAATATCGACAGTAAACTTCGCCTGCAGCTCTTCTGCCCTCCATCTCGTGCAAAGAGGCAATCTAAAACAATTGAGGTGGTCGAGTGGTGGAAGAAGCCCCCCAGACACAAATATTCCTCCACCCTTTATGTTACGGTGAAAGGCATTAAACTCCCTGAGCATGTAAGTTATTTGCTGCTTTACAGCTGCTATTAATTATTTATTTGGTTATTTTTATAATGAATACTTCTGTCTCGCATTTCTACTATAGGTATGTAGCAAAGAAAATGTTACCTAAAACTAGTATACTGTAGATAATGTTGTCTCATATTCTAGTGTAAAGTTGTAATCCAGCCACAAGTGGATTCAGTAATATGTTGTAGCTGAGACGGTTTATGTTCTGCAGGTTGACCCCAGTATTCGGTCCATGATGGCACTGCAGGAGGAGAGGGGTAGTACCTCCTACAGTGAACTGCAGAATGAGGTCACCAAGAGAAGCCTGACTCAGCCTCTAGACAGCAAGCCACCAGTCTTGAGATGGAGCCGGCTGCCTGGACAGGTTGGTGGAAATATTTATTTAATAATATTTATTTTATTTATTATTTTATTATTTCATATAACTTACATTTGTTTATTCCATATTTATATATTTCTACATTTATTTATGTCAACTGTATGTTCGTCTACGTGTAGCACCTTATCACCAAAGCAAATTCCTTGTATGTGTAAAACACTATTTGGCAATAAAGCTCCTTCAGATTCTGATTCTGATCAGTACTGAGTGGATAGCATGTGGTAAAATCAACAATGCTCACGCACTCATATGTACATTAAACTGTTTTTGTGGCTGTGATTATTCCTCCTTACTAGCTGCAAAGTGATCCCTTCTTCATGCAATTTGAATGTAAGAGATGAGACAAAAATCCACAGTGCTTCTTATATTTAAAAATTA